TTGGCCGAGGCTCAGGAAGCCACACGGAGAGGATGCGGGCGTGGCTGGTGGGCCAGCCCGGATTCAGCTCTGCAGGTTTCTGGTGCTTGTCCCCGACCCAGACCCGTGTCCAGGCAGTGCTGGCCTCACCTGGGTTCCCGGGGCCCTCCTGGCATCATCGCAGCTCTGATGTCAGAAATGCTGAATGTGGACGCGGGAACCTCGGGAGAGTCTCCGGTCCAACCTGGGGGATCTGGGCGTCCTGCAGGGGTCGGAGGGGGACATGCCACGCTACATCGTCCACGGAGCCGGGAGGAGGCCGAGGCCGTATTGGGGGGATCTAGGCCCTCCTGCCCGCTGGAGCATGATGAGGTGAGGGGGCAGCCGTGGGCTGGAGGGTTTGACTGGGAGGGGCAAAGCCAGGATGGGCTCAGGCTCGCCACAGGACACCCAGAGACGGACGGATGGACGGACGGACGGATGGAGTCTTATCCTGCCGGGTCTGCTCTGCAACGCTTCTGCAGCTGAAACTCCTGCTCTGGGAGAAACAGCTGCGTGAGAGGAAGGGCAAGGGGTGTGGGCAGGGCACAGAGAACGGTGGAACCCGGGCCCGTGGCTGAGGGACTCACTGCCTTCAGCGGCCGCTTGTTCACACGCCCCACAGCTGCCAAGGGGGTGGCCATACAGCTCACCACGAGCACCTCCGGACGCGTGGAACTCCAAGAACGTTTGCACATAGGAAGGGTAGAACAGCCACTGTCCATCAGGTCCACTGTATGAGACGTGTTAGTGCTCGCGGGCTCACAGTCCACGGCAGTGCTCATGTGGGCCGGCTGCCCCCAGGATCGCACTAACAAGGCCCCCCGGGGTCTTCGGGCCCCTGAGCGGCCACGGGCTCCCCCGCGTGGGCCTTCTGGGAGCTACTCCCCCGGCTCCTCCCCTGGGCAGCCCAAGCACCTGCTGTGCGTGTCCAGCCCAAGTCACCAAGTCACAGACACGCTGTGGAGGGCCCTGCCTCGGACTGTTCCAGTGCCCCTCACTGACTGGGAGGGCTGTGGGCCCTGACCTGGCCACCAAGGGAACTCACACCCCACCCGTCCTCTGGGCCCGTGTCTGGCTCATAGGGAAGGTCTGATGGAGGCCTGATTTGGAGGTCTGATGGGGGAGGCCTGATGGGGGAAGCCTGATGTGGAGGTCTGATGGGGAGGCCTGATGTGGAGATCTGATGGAGGAGGCCTGATGGGGAGGCCTGATATTAAGGACTCATGTGGAGATCTGATGGAGGAGGCCTGATGGGGGAGGCCTGATGTAGAGTCTGATGGGAGAGGCCTGATGTGGAAGCCTGATGTGGAGGTCTGATGGGGGAGGCCTGATGTGGAAGCCTGATGTGGAGGTCTGATGGGGAGGCCTGATGTGGAGGACTCATGTGGAGACCTGATGGAGGAGGCCTGATGGGGAAGGCCTGATGTAGAGTCTGATGGGGGAGGCCTGATGTGGAGACCTGATGTGGAAGCCTGATGTGGAGGCCTGATGGGGAGGGGCAGCCGGCAGGAGCAAGGGCAGCCTCTTCGCTGTCCCACATGCCCAGGTGTCAGGTGTGTGGTGTGGAGCCGTGGAGACGGCCCCGGGGGTGCTGCGGGTTTCGGCCTTCACCTCCTCCTGCAGGGAGCGTGGGCCTGGCAGGGTGGGCAGCGTGTGAAGTTCCAGCCGGCGGCCCCTCCCCATGACTGCCCACCCCCCACCCCCAGGCGCAGAGGACCCTGTGGCGGGCGCCTCCCTGCTGCCTCCGGCTGGCTGCTTCCCAGCACCAGCAAAGTGGGCCAAGGTGACGGGCAGCAAGTGCTTTGCAGGGGACGTCTGTGGCGACAGGGATGTCACCAGCTCCTCCACCCTCGACACGTGTAGATTCGCCTCAGGAGAGCTGATGCATGGTCGGAATAAACCCGCCCAGACACGTGCTGGAACCACGGCAGCCACTGGGACTCAGCTTGGAAAGGGGCGGGGGGTTGGGGGGAGCCCATGTAGCACCAAGCGAACACACATGCAGCACAGGGTCAGAGCACACCTGTAAGTACCCACAGGCTCATGTGCAGGGAAACATGTACATGTGCACACACACACACACATGCACACACATGCACACTGCAATCACATGCACACATATGCAAACACGCGTGCACACAACATGCAGCACAGGGTCGGAACACACCTGTAAGCACCCACATGCTCATGTGCAGGGACACGTGCACACGTGCACACAAGGAAGCACACACATGCACACGTGCGCACACTGCAGTCACACGCACAGATATGAGACACACGTGCACACATGCACGCCCATGTGCAGACACATGTAGACACAGAGTCACATGCAGACACGCATATGTACATGTGTGCATTCACACAAACATGCACACACATGTTTGTGTGGCTCACCTGGGCCATCCCTAGCATTGCTCAGTGGTTACCCACTCCACAGTGCTCTGAAGAGTTGGAGGGTCTGTGGGAGGTGGGCGAGCCCCAGGACCACCAGGCCAACCCCCTGTCGAGGCGGGAATAGCTGTCCCGCCAGCCAAGCACATGGAGCTGGACACCTGCAAAGCCTCACACGCATGCACACATATGTGCAAAGAGCATCACCCTTACGCGTGATGCTGCCTCCTCCAGGAAGTCCACCCAGCCTCTCTGCCATCAGGGGCCCCGGGCATCACAGCTGAATTGGGCACAGCCTGGCCGCCCAGAGCGGGCTGCATGGGAGCTCCCCAGCGTCAGTGCCCGCGTGGGGGGCACCGTGGCTCCCTGGCTCGAGAGTGAGGACCCGGGGGAGGAGTCGTCCTCTTCCAAGGCCTGAACCCTTTGTAGTGTCTCTCAGAAGCCGCGGCGGAGGAGCTCAGAAAGGAAGAATAACAACGACCCGCTCCAGCGCGACCTTGCCGCGACCCAAATTAAAAACCCATTTATCTGCTCTCCGAGTTTCACCTCGGAAAGTTCGCTCCTGGCAGCTGCTAATTAGAAGGGGAAGTGATCGGCATTCTAAGGCGCTGCCAGCCTCAGGGACGGGGCTGGGGGAGCAGCCCAGGAGCCCCCCGTGCAGGGGTGAGTCTGGGCGAGGCCCTGGGCCCCTGCCGCCCGTCTCAGCCCCCTCAGCCCCAGGGGGAGCCCCTGCCCTGATTTCAGGCACCTGCCTGCTTCCCACCCTACACCCTGACATTGACCAGGCAGAGGAGCTGGGGAGGGGCGGGGAAGGGCTGAAGCCCACCCCCTGCACTGCTTAGTGCTCCCTCCTGGGTCTCAGTGCTCCTCCTGGGTCTCTGTGCTCCTCCTGGGTCTCAGTGCTCCTCCTGGGTCTCTGTACTCCTCCCGGGTCTCTGTGCTCCTCCTGGTCTCTGTGCTCTTCCCGGGTCTCTCTGCTCCTCCCAGGTTCTCTGTGCTCCTCCCCGGTCTCTGTGCTCCTCCCAGGTCTCAGCGCTCCTCCCCGGTCTCTGTGCTCCTCTCGGGTCTCTGTGCTCCCTCCCGGGTGCTCTGTGCTCCCTCCTGGGTCTCTATGCTCTCCCAGAGCTCTGTGCTCCTCATGGTCTCTGTGCCGGCATCTGCCTGTCATGCAAGGCCCAGAGGACGCGGCTGTGCTTTGTTCCTGCCCTCAGTGCTCAGGGCCTCTGTGGCCCTGGCTCACTCGGCAGAGCCTGGGGGTGGCATCATGTCGGGCCCCATGTGAGGCCAAGCAGAGGAGCTGGGGCTTGGGCCAGACCCAAGGGCAGAAGGAGCACTGCAGGGCGAGGGGACGAGGCCACGCTGTGGGGTCTGCAGGTCCGAGACAGCCCAGCCCAGCATGTGCCATGGTACACAGCCCTGGCAGCCAGTGAGTCAGCCGAGCCAAGCAGTGTGGGGTGGCGGGAGGGTCCCGGGTGGGGGGTGGGGAGGTCCGGGCCTGCAGGTCCCACGGTGAGGCAGCACCGAGACCCCCACCGGGGTGGCCTCTAGGGCCCAGGCCCGCAAGGATGCGTCCCCTGGTGACGTGCCCATCCTTCCCGCCCCCCTGCCCCTCCCGCCCGCCCGCAAAACAGGCAGCGTGTTGCAGAGAGAGCTCAGTGGGCTCTGTCTGTCCTAGCTGGGACCCGACCACTCCATGTCGTCTGGGGTGAGCCGAGGACCTGCGGGGCCATGTGCACTCTGGGCCGTGTGCACTCCAGTCTGTATGCACACACGGCACAGCAGGCCCAGCATGGCTGAGTGTGGGATCCAAGGAAGTGCCAGACCCCGGGGCAGCCCAGCCTGGACCACAGCGGGGTGGGGGCTTCTTCCCTGCCCCCTCCCGGTCAGAATAAGCCCCCTGAGCACCCCCCCCACACACACCCCTCCTTCTCCCCTGTGCAGGAGATGGAAGGATGAGACCATTGATCGGTGGGGACTGTGGGGGAGAGGGAGGGCTGCGGCATGAGGGGGATGGGCCGCGGTGTGAGGGGCCACCATGGAGGACCCAGAAATGGGTTCAGACCCTCAAACTCAGCCTGTGGCTGCTGCTGGGAAATACTCAGAAGCTTCTGGAAAAGCTGGGCCTCCAGTGCAGCTGGAGGGGAGAGAAGGGGAGGGGAGGGGAGAGGAGGGCAGAGGAGGGGTCTGACCCATGGTGCTTCCCCGGCGTCCAGCACTGATCCCAACCACTCCCCAAGCTGTGCTGGCCTGTCCCTAAGGGGCCCCTTTGAGAAGGGACAGGAGGAGGAGGAGGAAGAGGAGGAGGAGGGGGAGAGGGAGGGGGAGTGATCACCCACGTCCTTCAGGGCCAGCCAGGCTCCCAGGTGGAGGCTGCACTGCCCAGTGTGGGTGCCCAGACCCTCTGCAGTAGCCCCAGGCTCAGGACAGCCCTCCCCCCTTCCCGGGACACACAACCCCCCTCCCAATCCGCACCCCTAGGGGCCCAACCCCTCCTCTGTCGGCCCCTCGGAGTCGCTGGGCTGGAAAAGCCACAAGTCACTGCCCGGCCTTCGTCCACGGACAGCACTGACCCGTGTCTCTGTCCACAGGGCCAAGGTCAAGAAGGGGGTGGACATCCTGAGTGCCCAGGCCAGCGAGCCCCGGCAGTGGGGCGTCAGGCAGGAGCCGGGGGATGGTGCACAGCGGGGTGGCATCGTGCTGGTGTGCCAGCGCCTGGCGCCTGGCGCCCGAGACCGGTAAGTGGCCATGGCTGGGGGGGGGGGGGGGGGGAGCGCTCGCTCAGGGCATCCGTGGACAGGAAGAGCCGGTGGGAAGAGGAGGAGAAACGGGAGGGGCGGGGCGGGGGCAGTTACGGGTCTGCGGGTGGGAGGCGGCCTCCCTGGGCCCGACAGGGCAGTGACTGGGCTGTGGGCGGCAGCAGAGGCCGCGGGACCTGGGCCCAGACACCCCGGTCAGGGCCACCCCAGCCCCTCCCGGCATTTCGCTTTCCCTGGGGTACCCCCCCCCCATTGCTCTCCGTGCCCTGGGCTGCCCCTCAGGCCCAGGATGAAGCCCGTGCCTTCACAGGGACCCCTGCCCTCCTCCCAGGGGCTGCCCCTGGACACTCCATAAGCCTGTGTCCCTCTGCTCAAACCCCGTCCTGCACACGTGCTCGGCTGGCCGGGTCCGGGGGCCTCGGCCTCTCCTAGTCGAATGCAGAGACCAGCTCACACTAACATCCTGGCTGTGAACTCTCACCCCGGCCAGCCGCCCGCATGGCCAGGGGCTGCTGTGTGTGTGTGTCCCCTTGCTTGACCCTCAGGCCCACAGAGCACGGCCTGGGTTGCAGGGTAAGCGGGTGAGGATGGGCCTCCCGGGAGCAGGACACCCCGAGGTGTGGGGATAGGGATGGCCTCCCAGGCATGTCCCGTGGAACCCCAGCGGCCTGGCGTGAGTGTCGCTGGTGAGCGCGGCCATGAAGGGGTGGGACAGGCTGCGGATGGTGTCGGACCCAGGCCAGGTCAGGGTGGGGGTGACCGACCTCCCCCCTTCCCTCCCTCCCCGGCCCCCACCCAGTAGGTGTCTGGGATTGCAAACTGCCCCAAAGTTGCCAGAACCCTGCAGCTCTAGTTCTGGAAGAAGGCAGCGGGATAGCAGCAGGCGTGCAGGTCCCCGTGGATGGAATATTCTAATAACTTCAGATTACTTGCGCCCGGCTTCCTGCCGCCCCGCGGCCCGGGGACAGTTTTCCCCGCCGCCCCTGTCCACGCCGTTCCCAGGTAACCCAATAACTCCCCGTCTCTCCTGCATATCGCATTAATTCTTCATAAGTGCCGCTGTTACTCCTCCCGCTCCGCTCCGCGCTGTGTTTCCTCGCCACGCGTGTAAACTAGGCCACTAAGCGGCCCCGACGCCCCATCATCCATCATGCCTCCAATTCCCCGCCCCGGGAGGCAGCGCGGAGGCTCGGGAGGAGGGCGGTCGCCTTGGAACCAGGGAGAGGGGCAGCGGAGACAGAGTGGGGGCCCCCAGGGGCCTCCAGGCCACCCCTTCCGACTGGCCGCTCACTCCTGTCCTGCCTCGTCAGATGCGCCCAAGGCGGCCCCTCCCAGAGTGGGCAGGACCCGGTGCCGGAGAGCCTCCAGCTGCGGCTTGGGGACCCACGGGCTCCTCTGTCCCTGTGTGCCAGGTGTCCAGGGCCTCTCCCAGGGGTCAGCTGAGAGCCGCCAGAGCCAGTCCCCGGGCCTGAGCCGTCCAGAGCAGAGGGGGTGGACACCCGAATGAACTCGCACACTGGCCAGGCTGGGGAGTGGCCGGCGGGGATGTTCTCCGTGGCGCTTATGGCGGATCCTGGGCTGCCCTGTGGTCACCTTAGAGTCTCAGAGTGGCTGCCCAGAGCCCTCGGAAGCGGCAGACCCAGACCTCGCGGTTCCCGGGAAACAGCCGCACTCGGCCCCTTCGGCCCCTCCCGGCAATGCGGCGTGGTGGCGCCGTGGCCAGCCCGGCCACAGCCCCTGGGCAGTCGGGGGCCGTGGGGAGGCGTAGGAGTCCCCGGCCCCCCTGCGCGTGGGGCTCTCAGTCCCCGTGTGCCCGCTGTGAGGCCGGCCTGCCCGCGCGCACACACGCTCTCCTGATAACCTCTGTTGTTCGGGGACCTTCTGACAGAACCTATTGACTTTTCCCGACCCTGAGAATATTGTTTCTTTTCCCATTTTATTTGAATGCATCGGGCTGGCTGAACCATTACCTGCACTTTGGAAATGCTTTAGTCGGCATCGACTGGTCTCTCCCGGGGGCGTGCCAGAGAGCCGGGGGCTGCTTCCCCTCCCCCTCCCCGAACCCGGGGCAGGTGCATCACGGCCTGGCTGGGCCCATCTCCAACCGAGCAGTCAGGCATCACGGCTGTTTGCCAGCCTGTGGCCGGGCCTGCAGGGAGCAGTGCTGGGAGACTCGGCCCAGGGCACCCTCGCAGGTCCTGCCTTGGCGCTGGGCTCATGGCTGCAGCTACTGGTTCCTCGCTTGCCCCAGGGCCTTTGCAGTCAGCATCTCCCTCCTGCCCTGGCCTTGAGAGCCCTCACCTCCGTGCAAGGAGCTGCAGCCTCAGCGTCCCCACAGCGGCCTTGGTAGCCCCCCCTGCGGCCACCCCTCCAGGAGACCCAGCTCTGCTGGGCAGGGCTGAGGTGACAGCACCACCTCCTGTCCTGGCTCTCGTGCCCTGAAGTCAGAGCCCACGGCCTCACGGACTGGAGAGTGCGAAGTCAGAGTCTGGGGCCCCCCACGGATTCCCCCAGTGAGCCCTGATGGACCCAACACCTTCCTCCTGCCTGAGTTTCTCGAGAGCCAGTTCTGGGGTCCCACCAGCCCCCTGTTCCGGACCTGTGAGCCCAGGGAGCCTGAGACCCCCGTGCCGTGGAGTGTGGAGGTGACAGATGGCCAGGTCAGCGCCCGGGGGGGCCAGGGGGCGGGGGGGGGGGGGAGGGACAGGGCCTAAGGCTCCGTGCGGGGGTCCAGGTGCCCTGGAGGTGGCAGTGTTGACCCCAAGAGAGCTCTGCGGAAGGCGTGCAGGCGTGCGGGATGCGAAGTGACAGCGGCATGGGGGGGGGGGGGACCAGAGGCCAGCCCGGCTGAGGGCCAAAGACTGGATGGGAGCTGTCTGGCATCCCTCTGCTGTCCGCGGGTGCTGGGCCTAGGGAGGGGCCGCGTCCCCCTGACACTTCTCCTAGTGGGGGGTCTGGGGTGTGGGGAGGAGAGGGGCTGGGCGAGGCAGGCTGGTCCCCCTCCCACCTGGCCATGACTGAGCCCTGGGCTCCCCGGCAGCCGTGTTGGGGAGTGAAAGCTGACAGGTAATTCGGTGAATCGCGACAGGCAGCCAACATCTGTTGAGGGTGATAAAATTCAAGGGGTTCCATTGTTCCCGGGGAAATTTCGTTACGCGGGGCCCGGATTAATTTTTCATTGTCTTGGTTAAACGAGGATTGCTTACCCAGCTGTCGCCGCAGAGCTCTGATTACATTCCGGCTTCTGCCAAGACCAGGGAAGGAGAGAGAAAGTTAAATAAAGCCTGGGCTGACTTGGGATGGGCGGGGCCCGCACGCGGCCCCTGGACCCCCCATGCCTGACAGACTGAGGGCTCGGGGAGCAGACAGGCCACAGACACAGCTGGGATCTCCCGATGGGCGCCACGGAGAAGGGGGGGGGGAACACCGCCTGCAGGGCCAACACGCACACACACACATGCACTAGCATGTGCATGCTCGCACAAACGCTCAGGCGTGCCGGCTCCCCCTGGGGCCAGGAAAGCCACAACCGGCTGTCCTGGGGCCCCTCACAGCCAGCACCCAGGCGCCTGCCCTGGTCCCGAGGCCACAGGGATGCTCCCGGCTGGCTGTGCCCAGGACCCCCACCACACACACACATGCACGCACACACACACGCGCGCGCACATGCGCACACACGCACACACATGCACACACGCACACACATGCACACACATGCACACACGCACACACACACGGGCTGCGAGAAGCATGTGAGCGAGCAGACTGCTGCCAGCCGCTGCCCCTCCGGGCTGGTGGCTCTAAGAGTCCCCCCAACCATGCCTCAGGAGAGCATCTGTCTCCATCCTTCTCTCTTGTGAACAGAGGCTGCGTGTGGGCGAGGAACTGGGTCAGGCCTGGGAGCTGCCCCAGGACCCCCCGGCCTGTGTGTGTGTGTATGTGGGGGCAGCTCCCGACACTCAGAGTCGCGGCCATAAGCCAGCGGCCCCTCTCCTCACCTGTCCTGTGCTCTGACCTGCCTCCCTCAGCCCTCCGGTCTGAGCACCGCCCCTGGTCCAGGTTTGTGGTTTGCAAATTGTCCATTGTTTTTAAATTAAGCAGAAGTAGTTAATAACTAAAGATTAATAACTAAAGTCACCATCGTGGCTGCAAATAGAGATGATGGAGACAGAGGCGTGCCAGCCCCCCCCCATACACACACACACACACACAGGCACACACACACAAGCATACACACGAACACATGCACACACACACATACACGCACACGCGCACACGCTGAGTCCTGCCCGCAGGATGGGACCCGGCTGTCCCAGAAGAGTCTGGCACCTTCTCGCTGAGACGGGTGAGTCCTGGCCACCCATCTCTGCAGGGGCCTCTGTAACCCAGCTGGCGTGTGGACGCTTACTGTTGGCCCACCCGGCCCATGGATGCTCACCGTTGGCCCACCCGGCCCGTGGACACTCACTGTTGGCCCACCCAGCCCGTGGACGCTCAGTGGCGCCATCACTGCTTCTTCGCCATCTCCTGATGAGTTTGTCGGGAAACCCTCCCCACGTGTGTGGGAAACATGAACGGGCTAGAGGGTGACTGACCCTTCAGGTTGGAGCCCTCAAAGCCGCAGGTGACGGCTCTGCCCTGCGGGTTTCCAGCCTGTGTTTATCTCGAGAGCAAGAGAAGGGGGTTCCCTTGGACTGGGCAGCGCGTCTGGGGAGACCCCGAGGCCCAATCAGGCGGGGCCCCTGGGTGCCACCTTCCTCGTCCTGCCCTTCACAGTGTCCCTCGGGGCCCAGAGCCGCTGAATAATCATAGCCCCCTTTAACTATATGCTGTCCGGATGGAACATATGTTACACGTCTGTGGCCTCCTTTGCAGACCAGAGTGCGCTCTGCTGGCTGGAAGGACCCTGAGCTTCGGGAGAAGGGGTTGTGGCTGGTGTTTCCCACGATTACACAAGCAGCCTCCTGCAGCCTCTTTAGTCAAATATTTAGGAAGACGTGCGAGTGTGTTTTCTCCGCTCTGGTTCCCTCTCGGTGGTGAGGGGGTGGACATGTGGGGATGGGGAGTCCTGCTCGGTCCCCGGACAGTGCTCGGAGCTGCGGGCAGGATAGGTTCACGCCCCATCCTGGCCTCTGTCTGCAGCTGTGGGATGCGGGATGCCCAGCTGTCCCCTCCTCACTGGACCCACACTGGGGGCCGAGACCCCCACTCTCGGTCCTTGCTCTGAGCATTCTCGGAGCCTCGTGTCCGGGGTGCCATGGTGTCACCTAGATGCGTCCCGTAGGATGACTCACACCCTCCCCAACTCCGGCCCACGTCCAGGGCGAGCTCTGGCAGGGCGCCCCCAATTCGTCTGTTGGAACATTGGTGCTCCAACAGCCCCTGAGGAGGGCTACAGCGTGCGCTGGGGCCGCTGGAGCACCTGTCCCAGGGGGCATCCAGGATCCTCAGGCAGCCACAGGCAGAGGAGAGGCTCGCCCATGGCCCCTGCTGGCACCAGGTCAACCCAGCCTCCCCTCCCCAAACCACCCTCCATGGGCCCCAGGGCCTTTGCATGTGCCACCCCTCCAGCATGTCTCTGTCCTGGCTTCATTTAGACTCAGATGGTGCATCTGTGGCCTACGTACCTCCCTGCAGCCCCACGACACACCTTCCCCATACAGCTCGAGCGTTGCTGGACCCACTTTCTCGTGTCCCCTCTCCTTGTTTCTGCCATTCCTCCATCACCCCGAACCCGTCCTCTTTCATCTCCAGGTGCTGAGGGGGCCCTGGCACCAGAGTCTGAAGCTGCTGGTGAAACGTGGCCAGCCTCTGTGGAGGGATGGGGTGAGGCCCTCCCGCCTCCTGCCACCTCTCAGTTCGGACAGTTGCTGGCTGCTACTGCTACCCATCAGGGGTCAGTTGCGGTTGGTGGGTCTCAGTCCTTGCAGGGAGCCATGTACCCTAGGTGAGCCTGAGCAGACCCAGTGAGGGGGGGGGTGCGGATGGATGGTGGGTGGATAGATGGGTAGATAGTGGATGGATGGAAGGTAGATTCATGGATGATGGATACATGGTGGATGGTGGATGGTTGGTGGGTGGATGAATGGATGGATGGGTGGATGGGTGGGTGGGGGGTGGATGGATGGATGGATGGATGGGTGGAGGGATGGATGGGTGGATGGGTGGAGGGATGGATGGGTGGATGGGTGAATGAATGGGTGGGTGGGGTGGATAGGTGGTTGGTTGCGTGGATGGGTGAATGGATATGTGGATGGATGAATGGATGGGTGGGTGGGTGGATGGGGGGATGGATGGATGGGTGGGTGACTGTGGATGGATGGATGGGTGGATGGGTGCGTGGATGGGTGGATGGATGGATGAATGGATGGATGGATGGATGGGTGGATTGATGAATGGGTGGGTGGGTGTGGATGGGTGATGGGTGCGTGGGTGGGTGGATGGATGAATGGATGTGTGGATGGATGGATGGATGGATGAATGGGTGGATGAATGGGTGGGTGTGGATGGGTGGGTGCATGGATGAGTGGATGGGTGGATGGATGGATGGTTGGATGGATGGATGGATGGATGGATGGGTGGGTGAATGGTAGATGGATAATATATGGGTGGGTGGATGACTGGATGGCAGGTGGATGGACAGCATGTGTTGGCTGACTGATAGGTGGGGGCTGAGCAGAGACCACTGGGTGCAGCCGGCCACCCCCTCTCAGTTTTCGTATCCCACCTCTCCTTGCTTCCCGGGGCCCTCGGCTCCGTCCCAGACCCTGACTGTGAGTCAGACTCTTGCGTGGCTGATCCAGCCCCTTCATCCTGTACTTACAGGGGCTCAAGGTGTGGGGCCCTCTCCTGCCTCCTGTGGTGTTTGGGACCCAGAGCGCGACTGTCCTGGCTGAGGTCCAGCGGCCCTGTCTCTGCTCCTCAGACCCGCCTGGTCCTGCTGGAGAGGCTGATAGCCCGGTGGATGTGGGGCCGATGTCCCCCTGCCCAGCCGACTCAGTCTCCTGCGTGTCCGCAAAATGGCCGAGCGACCATACTGTGCCGGGGTGGGCGAGCTCGGGCAGTGTCTGCAGCCCTGAGCAGGGGCTCTGCACTGGGTGCCCCCAGAGCCTCTGACTTGGGCCTGGGCAGGTCGTGGGCACGGCCAGGGGGCTGCATCCGCTTCCCTCTGCCTATGAGGCCCCGGTTGCCCGACCCAGTCTCTCCGCGCCTTCTCGGGGCACTTCTCGCGTCAGAGCTGGCCGGCTGGGGGAGGGGCCTCTCGGCTCCCCAGCAAACACCCCATGCGCCCCTCCCCTGCACGTGGCCCCCACTCACCATCTTTGGGACCAGCAGCTAGGACCCGCATGCCGTGCGCCAGGGTGTCCGGCAGCCAGTGAGCCTGCAGCTGAGAGCACTGGCCTTGAGCACTCTGGGCAGTGCGTGCTCAGGGCTGACTCCCCGCCTGTCCACTCCCCTGGCCACGCCCCCCAGGGGGATCGTGAGTGACGCCGGGGTGGGGTCCAGGCTCGGCTAGACCCGCTAGACCCAGGCCAGCCGGAGCCTCCCATTCCTCAGTGGCAGCCCTGGGCCAGGGCGAAGCTGAGCTGAAGTCACAGGGCCTGGCTGTCCCCGTGGCCTTGTCGGGCTGGTGGGTGCTCAGAGTCGCGGTGCCAGGGCCACATGGCACTGAAAATCTGGGTGGGGGGGTTGCCTGGGCCACAAGCTTGAACCCCAGCTGCTTCCCCCAGGTGTGACGTTGCCATTTCTTTATTGGGGCAGCCTCCCTCAGCAGTGCTCAGGGACCACCAGGGCTCAGCTGCTGGTCGTCAGGGGCATTGGGCTCAGGGCTCGTCCGCTCCCCCACCTGCCAGACGCTCTGTAGACTCTGCCATGCTGCCCCCCCCCAGGCGTCCTTGGGAGCCCCCCAAGCCCACCCCAGATGGCTGCAGGCCCCACGTCAAACTCCAGGCCCTCACCAAGGTGGAGAGGTGCAGGGCTTGGGGGTCCTCCTGGCCCCCCCTGGGCTGCGGCCAAGGTCCACTCGTGCTTGCCAGTGTCCACACGCGGGTGACGCTCCCTGGGCAGACTGCTGGTGGCCGGGAGGGAGGCATGTGGGGGGCCTCGGGAGGACCAGGCCTGCCCACCTGCTATGATCTCCGGGGCTTCCCAAGGCCGCGTGGGCGCTCCTCCCGGGACGGGCCTCCATGGGCGACATCCCCCGCCCGGCATTGAGGCCAACGCTGCGCCCGGCCCTTCCTGCTGTCAGTGTCAGGCTCAGGGATAAAGGGGGGAAACAAACCCTGAAGTCCCAACTCTCCATCCGACCTGGGCAGCCTTCGGACACTCCCCGGGCCCCCGGAGTGCTATGGACACGCAGCGGGAAGGTGCTGGCCCTCCCACCCCCACCCTGCCTGGCCCATCGCCTGCCCAGCGCGAGGCCCCGTGGGGTACAGAGATGGAGACGCCGTGAGCCAGTGCCGTCTCCCCAGTCCCCAGGGGCGTTTGCCGAGTGTCCACCCTCTGCCCGTCAGAGGTGATTTCTGCTGGCCACGTGGCCGCCGGCCGAGCCATTTCAGCCCCTCAGCTCTCTCGGGCGCGGGGCCACGGTGCTGACGGGGTCAATGGGACTTTCTAATAACGCATCTCCCGGAGGGGCCGTGAGTGTCCTTTGCCTTCATGAAATACACATGAGCTCAAATGGGCAAAGCAGGCCCGGCCGTGCCCCTCGGGCCGGCTCCCGATCGCAGCTGATCTCTTCATCTTGTTAGCGGGGTCCCTCGCGGCATTCAGCGTCTGCCAGGCGGGGAGAGGCCCCCCCGTGCTCGGGGCAACGACTCGGGCGCGCCACACACCTCCGACTTCATTTTCTTACGAGATGGAGTTGAGCAGCTAAGAGGTCGGGCAAATTGGGTTTCCAGTGGTCCAAACTTTATTGTGACGATTGAGGGAATTTATTTGCCTTTGAGTAAGAGCTTTTGTAAAGCCAATTTTGAAATTTTCTTTCAAGACTTACTGCAATAAATCTACACTATTGATTTAGCAAGCGGTGCTTCCCGGCCGCCCGCGGGTCGCCTGAGTGCTGAAATCCCTCTCCTCATTTCTCCAACGGGGTCATCAGCCGCGCGGACTGGGCCCGCCGGCAGAGGCCCTGCAGGACCCGCTGACCCCGTCCCTGCGGGTGGCCGGTCCCGGCCGGGTACAGCCACAAGCACACCTTGCTCCAAAGCTGGTGACCCTGGATGAGGGACGGGCCCGGGAATGGCGAGAGACGCAGCCCACCTCTGGCTCCTGGGCCCTTCCCGGCGCTCTCTGCAGGCCCCACGGGTGGCCGAGCCCGGTGACACTGGGCCCGCCAGCTTCCATGCCAAGGGCGCTAGACTGAGGCTTCGCTCGCCCTGTGAGAGGCAGGTGATGGGCAACCTTGTGGCCAAGAGGGCAGAGGCGGTCAGTGCCCACAGACCCCAGCAGGCACGGCTGGGCAGCTCCACTCAGCCCCTAGGGGCCACATGAAGAGTCCCGGGCCCTGCTCAACACCTCGTCGCGCCCGGCCTCCCGGCTCCGACCCTCTCCCTCACCCCTGTCCCTCTCCCTCTCCCTCTCCATCTCTCTCCCTCTGCCTTTCCTTCTTTCTCTCCCTCTCCCTCTCTCCCTCTCTCGTTCTCCCTCTCCCTCTCTCTCTCTCTGTCTCTGTCTCTCTCCCTCCCTCCCCCCTTCCCTCCCTCCCTCCAGTTTATAACTGTCCTTCCAGGACCCAGAACCACTTCCAGCCCTTGTCTTTGGCCCCTTTCAGAAGCAGTGTCCAGCCCAGTGAGGTGGCTCGGGTGAACTTCGAGGTCAGCAGCGGCATCAGCAGTGCGCCTGGGGGCCAGCCGGTCACCTGGGAGGTGGAGTACCCCCGGGACAGGATCATCAGCGTCGCTGTGTCCAACATCTTCACCAGCCAGCAGGACCTAGTGGCCGTGGTGCCCCTGGCCATGGTAAGCGCGTAGGACTCGGCCCCTGTTTCCTGGGAAGTCTGTGACCCCGGGGCCAGGGCGCTGCAGCTGCTGGTCACTGTGTGCCCCTTGCCCCGGCATCCTTGCCCCAGCCCAGACACAGCCCCAGCCCGGCCCCCGCAGCCCTGCACGCCCAGGGGCAGGTCTGTGCTGTGTTCTTTGTACCGTCCTGAGGGTGCCCAGCCCATCTAGAGGTGACCGTTCCCGGGGCTTCCTGCCTCGTGCTGGCCTTGGGCACACTAACAGGGAGTCCTGGACCCCGACAGTGGGAGCCAAGCAGGGCCCTGAGCGGACTCAGTCCACTGAGGACATGGCCAGGCTGAGGACAGAGCCCAGTGCAGGGTGGCTATGACCTTGCTGTGGCCCTGCCTATGTCCACTGTGGGGACATGCTTTTCCCGCATACGGGGGACAGCCCTGAGCCCGACTGGGAAGCTGTGGATGGGACACACAAGTCAGAAATGCTCTGACCCCTGACCTCTGACCTATTACCTCTGACTCCTCTGTCTCGGGTGCATTTTAGTCTGTTCGGAGAGTCGGACCGAGGCGCAGGGCAGCCTGGCAGGGGGCCATGTTCACCGGGGCGGGTGTGGGGGCGGCTCGCCAGGTCGGGGGGCTTCCAGGCCACTAATTCCGGGCTGGCCTGGCCCAGCGAGGGGCGGTCAGGTGGGGAGGGGCCCATGGTGAGACCCTCAGGCTGTGCCCCACCGATGCGGCCCACCCTCCCGGGCACTGCTGGGCATAGGTGCCGCCCAGAGTGGATTCTCGTTTCTCAGACCCCAGACGGGGAGAGACCATGGGGGACGGGCGCTGGCCACGGGCACCATCCACGGGCACTGTCCACTCCCCGCTCCTGAGGTCCAGGGCCCCCGGTGCCGCCCGGTTTTGCATGTTGGGGTCTCCAGGGGACCGGCCCCCTTGGGGCCAGCCACACAATGGCCCCAGAGTAAATGATGACGAGTCGTCCTGTGGGCGGCAGGGAACCCACAGGTGGACTCGAGCCCCGGGAGGCCGCGTCTGTGCCAGGCTGAGCTAGACCCCTGTGGGTCTCTAAGCATCCAGCTCGGAGTGTCCTTGAGCGGCCCAGCTGCTGCCTGGCCGGGCCCTTCATCCCCGGGGCCACTGGAGCCCGAGTGAGCCAGGCTGATGGACGGATGAGCAGACAGGTCACAGCGCAGGGGCCTGGGGGTACCCGACCGCCCTCCTGCTTCTTCCCTGCAGGGACCCGCCTCTCCCTCAGGCTCCTCAGGCTTGGCCCGAGAGCCTGCATAGCCCCGTGACTCCTGCTTTGGCCGTGCTGGGTCACCTGGGGACTGTCACCGCAGCTGAGATTTGAGGCATCCATGTGCCCCTCCGAAGGGGCGGGTGGAGGCGGGGTCTCTTGGAAAACACATCCCGGCGTTCACGGTTCCTCTCCCGAGCCCTCCCGCCGAGCAGCGCAGAGTGAACTGAACCAGGGACACATCCACATCCCCGGAGCAAGGGCTGCAAGTCACTGGCCAGTCAGCCTGAAAGGCCGTGCGGCCGGCTTCTCGGCGACGCACGCTCCTGCCAGCCAGGAGAGTATAAATCACCATCTGTGGCCTCATCAGCCCTGCAGTGGGAGGGAGCTTCCTGCCTCAAGCCCCCCGCAGGGGCTGCTGTGGGGAGACCAGGGTCCCGCCTGCTAGCCCGCCCTGAGGAAAGAGATGGAGCTAACGGTGGCTTCCCAGAGTCAGGTGGGCATGGGCTTGAACATGAGATGTCAGAGCAGCGAGATAAGAATCAGATTGTCGGGGGCCGGAGAGACAGGACGCGAGTGGGCTCACGCCTTGTACGCTGCCAACCAGGGCTCAACCCCGGAACACCCCGGGTGCCCCCAGAGTTCCACCAGGAGGATTCCTGAGCACTGCTGGGCTCGGACCCCCAAAAAGCAAAACGACAAAAAGAAGCCAAGAGACAACTCCTGGCCTCGTCCAGCTCGAGACGGGGCTTCCTGCCCGCGGAGATCCGCCCCTCGCCCCACCTGCCTGCTGGGGCTCCAGATGCATGACAGGTGGTCCCTGGAGAATGGAACGGGGCACACTGGGGCTCGTTCTGGACTCGGGGATCTCCGTGCCCCAGCCCAAGGCCCCATGCAGCCCTCAGGACACCCAGAATTTCTCCCAGCCCGAAATGCAGCCGGGACGCTATTTGGTTTGATTTTGGTTTTTGAGTCCCCCGGGGTGGGGACGCGGCGGGTCTGGGAGAGAGACATCCAGGATAGGGAGAGCAGCTGGTGACCCTCCCCTCGTGCCCCCAAGGCAGCGCCCTGCCCTGCCCCTCCCCCAGCCCTGCCTCTTTTCTTCCCAGACTCGTACCACCCTGTCAGCCGCTGAGCGTAGACCAGGGACTTGGCAACCGGATTACAGCTTTAGCTTCTCAAAATTAAATCCGCAAAGCTGGGCCAGGCGTGGGGGGACGGAAGCGTTTCTCTGTGGATTTGCAGAGGGTCCCTTGACCCCGAGCACGCGGCCGCCCGGGGCAGGGTGCTGGCGCCGGCTGGCTGCTCCCTGGGGTTCTGGCCGCCCGCGCTCCTGAGCAGGAGGAAGGGATTCGATGTGGCTTTGCAGCGGCCCCAAATCTCATTACTCAGACTGCGCTTTCTGCTAGAGACAGAGGCACAATTTTTTAAAATTTATTTTTATTTTTTGCTTTTTGGGTCACACTCGGCGTTGCTCAGGGGTTCCTCCTGGCTCTGCACTCAGGAATCACTTCTGGCGGTGCTTGGGGGACCAGATGGGATGCTGGGAATCGAACCCGGGTCGGCCGCGTGCAAGGCCAACACCCTCTCTCTGTGATATCACTCCAGCCCCATAAGAGGAGCGATTTCAAGCCCCCCTGGACAGTTAGCGGGGGTCCAACGTGGAGTACCGGACACCACTGTGTGGTCACATGGACTCTGGGCCACTGGCCAGTATCTCGCGGCACCCACTTCCACGCTGTGCCTGAGCCCGCCTCTGTCTCCCTCCCTCCTGGCTCTCTGTGGAGGCGGGGGGGGGGGGGGCAGGGGTGGGAGGAGCAGGGGGGCAGCAGCGAGCGCCCGGGGTCCTGCCAGGTGCCGGGTTCTCAACACACAGGTCAGCTGAGGGAAGAGCGACGGTTCCGTCATTGAGCCGTATTAAGCCGTCCCGTAGGGGGCTTAAGGGATCCAGAAACACCCCGGAAGTGGGAGGCCCTCAAGGAAGGGCAGAGTCTGGGTGTGGGAGTGAGCTCAGCAGTGGACTGTCCCCCTGGGCATGTTAACACAAGCGTGTGACTGCTGCAGCCCTGGGGCACAGCTGTCGGGGGGAAGGGGCATGGGTGAGCGAGACCCTAGCAAACTCGCCCCAACAGGTGATGCGCCACACCCCTCGCAGGGGAGGTGCGGGGGTTCGTGGGGGCACTCGGGCCCCTGGTGCTGGGCAGTGAGCACGACACCCGGGCAGGGCACCAGGGAGACCAGCGCACCTGCCCCATGCATGTCATCACAACACGCGGGTTCACTGCCGGGGGAGGCAGGGGGCGTCCCCAGGGTGTGGGGGCTTGGGGAGCTGCAGACGAACATTCCAGGAACCGTCCAGGCAGAGAGCAAACTGGGCCGTGCTGGCCCCGGCCGGAGTGCCCGTCCTCAGAGCAGGACCCAGATGGCCAGAAGAGCAGGACTTACCGCCTATGATGCTGAGATTGGCCACCAGGGGGCACCGTCCCCCCTCGGCTTCGCCTCACCAGAGGGTTATTCTTGGGGTCTGGGGGGCATTTTGGGGAGGGGCCGTGCTGGGCTTTTGATGCGGGTCTGGGATGCTGGTCTCGGCAGGGGGGGCGCCACTGCGCCCGCCCCGCCCCCGTAACTACCCCCCTCCCCGCACTCCTCTCCCCTTCGAGACTTCCGGGCCCTGTGTCTGGGTGGAACTGCGTCCCGGAGACAAGCGGGAAATGAGCAGAAACAAGCTTGTAGCAGGGGCCGGGGGTCCCTTCTTCCCCCCAGACTTGGGAGCTGCCTCCTGAGGCCCACGCGGCCCCTCTCTGAGGCAGGCGGGGGTCTCGTTCCTCATCCACCCTTGCAGAAACCCTGTGGGAAAGCGAGCAGGCCCTTTCGTCAGGACAGGGAGGGGGTCGCCCACTGACACCTCCCGCACACGGGGCAGCTGCAGGGCGTCCCCCCTAGGCCTGGGAGCCTGGACACGGCACGGGGGTCCTCCTGGAGTCGGCCTGAGCGTGACAGAAAATCCTCAGCACAGAGGCAGAGGCCCCGGGCCCAGGGCATCCCCGCGCAGGGGGCGGGACGTGTGTCCACACGTGAGCCAGGAGGCTGCAGCGTTCCAGCCATTGCGCCCGTATTTCCGGTGGCAGGTTGGCAGCGAGAGAGAAGGAGCCTAAACTCGCGGAAGTCCGGACCCTGCGAGGACCCTACTTTCTGGAAGGCCCTTGTGCCTCGGGGTCCAGTGGCTGCTGACCCGGTGTCTGCTTCCCGCAGGACACGGAGCTGCTGAACACGGCCGTGCTCACGGGCAGAACTGTGGCCGTGCCGGTCCGGGCGGTGGCTGTAGAGGAGGACGGGGCTGTGACGGACGTCTCGGGCGCGGTGGAGTGTGTGTCCGCAGATGAGGACGTGCTCAAAGTGAGTGACCCGGCACCCCGGACTCCCTGGCCCCTCAACCCCTCTGGTCACTTGCCCCTCGCCCCATGTCCATCTTTGTTTCCTCCTTCCCGCCCTCCTTGCCCACTCACTCTCGCCCTCGGCTTCCTCCCACCCTCGCCCCTCCATCTCTAGTGCTCGCCTGCTCGGGCAGAGCTGCGCCAGGGCCAGGCTCGTGTGTCCAGCTGGTGCTGGCCGGCTGGCGAGGTCAGGCCCTGCAGCCGCTGTCCCCCCCGCGCCGGCCAGGGGGCAGCTGCAGAGCCGCCGTGCAGATCCTTGGATGGGGTGGACGCCTCGTGTCGTGCCAGGGCCCGGGCCCAGGGTTTCGTGGGCACCTGGTGCCCCAGCAGCCCCTGTGCTTCTCCCAGAAAGGGCCACGGTGTGTCCCAGTGTCATAGGCAAGACCATCCCCAAGGTCCCTACGCCGGGAGCTGCCGGATGGAGCCGCTCTCCTCTGCCTGAAAAGAACAAGCGGGGGTCTCCGGCAGGGGTGGGGCAGTCACCCACACGAAGGGTGTTGTTCAGTTCGGCCCTGGGAAGCACCCCGCCCCGAGCTCCCTATGCCGAGCACCCCACCCCAAGCACCCTGCCCCGAGCACCCTACCCCAAGCACCCCACCCCGAGCACCCCTCCCCAAGCACCCCACCCCAAGCACTCTACCCCGAGCACCAGGCCCTGAGCACCCTGCCCCAAGAACCCCGCCCCAGATGGGCACAAGCCCCCATGAGGGCCAGGCCCCCACACACAGTGGACATGGGGCAACTGCCCGCTCCCCTCCCCTGCACAGAGCGGGCAGTCAGTGACAGCGTCCACCCCGGCCTCAAAGTGCAGACGGGGCCTTGTTGAGCCACGAGGTCCGGCCGGGACCATCTCTCCCCCAGAAGGGCGTTAGAAACAGACGCACTCGCACGCAGCAGGGGTCGCTCAAGAAAGTCGTCGGGGAAAAAGAGAACTTTTTTTCCCTCTAAAAAAGTCCCTGCCGCCTCCAGTGCCCCCCGCAGTTGCGTGTGAGAATGAAGTCACCCCCACACCCGTCCCCGTGCAGGGTTATAGGGGAGGAAGGAGCCGCGTCACACCTGCCTGATGCGGGAGGGACTCACGCACTCCAGAGTTCCTTCCTCTCTGAGCTTCACAGGGAAACGACACGTCACTCTGCACCAAGCAAACTGGCAGGTTATTCTTTAAAGAAGAGCTTTGTTGCAGCCGGAAGGACGATTTTTCCAAATCCAGCCACGTCCTGAGTCTGTCTGGGGCCCGTGCAGAGAGTGGGAAGCTTTTGGACGCCAAGTTCATCCCAGCTTGTGGCTGGGCTGGGCTCTCTCAGGAGTGACTACACACACACACACACACGCACATGCACACACAGACACGCGCATGCACGCACGCATGCACACATGCACACGCACAGACACATGCACGCACACGCACATGCACGCACACGCATGCACACAGGCACATGCACACACATACACATACGCACACACATACAAACACACACACATGCACACAGAAGCACACGCGCACACACATGCATACACACATGCACACGCGGGGAAAACAGATCCGCTCAGGGCTACGGTCCAGGCTCTGAGTGGCGGGGAAAGGATTTTTTTGTCTTTGTGTTTTGTTTGTTGGGGTCACACCTGGCCATGCTCAGGGGTCACTTGGCTCTGTACTCTGGAATCACTCCAGCGGTACTCGGGGACCCTGTGTGATGACCAGGTCAGCCACACGCAAGATAGGCACCATCCCCGCCGTGCGGTAGCACCGGCGGGTAAAGGCTGCGGGCAGCACGTGCACCTGAGGGGCAGCAGCCTGGCCCCATGAGTTACCCCTCCCCCCCCCCCGTGCCCTCAGAGCTGGCTTCCTCCCTTCAGTCTCTGCAGAAACTGCAAGGGGTAGGGGGTCTTGGCCTCAGGGGCTGTGGGCAGGCGCCTAGCCATGCAGGGGGGCTCCTGGTCTCCCCATCTCTCCATCACTCTCCCTCTTGCCACCGACCCACCCGCCCACCCACCCATCTACCCATCCACCTATCCATCCATCCATCCACCCACCCACCCACCATCCCCATCCCCCACCCACCCATCTACCTCCCCACCCACCATCCACCCACCCATCCATCCATCCATCCACCCATCCACACATGTATCTGTCCACCAACCCATCAGCTCACCTGCCCATCTGCCCATCCATCCATCCCCACACACACCCACTCATCCATGCACCCACCCACCCCCTGCCCATCCATCCACCAACCCACACACCCGCCCAGCCTCCCACACACCTGCCTGTCCACCCTCACCCCCATCCATGCCCGTCCGCCCATCCCCCCATCAACCTTCAACAATTCGTTTTCCTGCGCTTCTGCCACAGCAAACGGTCATGGGGGACCAAGCAGTAAAAAACGTGAGGTGACAGTGTTGCGCCAAGGTCACTGTGAAGGGGTGGCCGGGCACGCGGGCCCCCAGTGTCTGTGGGCGGGAGTGGGCTGGGCCGCTGGGCCACGCCCGCCCTCGTGTCCTTCAGTGGGCCCGTCCGGAGCACAGGGTCAGAGGGCTCCGGCGCTGGGCAGACACCGCATGGAGGTGGTCCCGGCCCTGCAGCCCCCTGCCCGCCGTGCCCGCAGGTGTCAGAGCGCTGTGACCACGTGTTTGTCAGCGGCAAGGAGACCAGGGGCCAGGTGGACGCGGCCGTGAGCTTCTCGCACCAGCACCTGAGTGCCATCCTGCGTGTCACCGTGTGGGCGCCCCGCCTGCCCCTGCAGATCACGCTCTCAGACACGGAACTCAGCCAGATCAAGGGCTGGCGGGTCCCCGTGGGCACCAGCAAGAGGTGAGCAGGGCGGGCCGGGCCTCCTGTGGACTCTCTCCAAAGTGCTCCCCCAGGTGGGCCCAGCGTCAGCCGCAGAGCTGGGGATAAACGGTCCTTGGTGTGGACACTGGACAGGGGACCACGTGCCCCTCATGGGGACGGGCGGCTGATGTACCCTGCGACGCACACGCTCGGCGGTGGGTTCCGCATCCCCCTCCAGCCCGAGTGGATCAGCCTCGCTGAGCCGGAACCGCTGTCCCAGGGAGCACAGCCCTAACGGATGGGCTTCCGCCAGGCCCCACATCCCCGCTGAGGGAAGATGCGTGGCTGGCTGGGACTAAAGTCCGTTTCATCTCTTGCCCTGAAGGGTCGCACGTGTCCCTGTAAATCGGTGCATGACCAGCATGACCAGGACACGAGGCAGTCAGGGGAACTTCTTGTGGGGGGCCAGGCGACTGGAACGTTCTAGAACGTTCTAGAGCCCCACTATCCAGAGAGGTGGACACTGGCAAGAGGCTGAGCGTCCTCCATCAATTTGCTGAGTATTGATGAACGTTCTCATCGCCGTCACTCTGGGGGGGCGGGGGGCTGGGCGGCTAGGTTCGGCCTGGTGGCCCGGGGTGGGTGGTCCTGGGAGCCCAAGCCCAGCCCAGGGCACCTGTTCCCCAGGCCCACGCGAGAGAGCGAGGACGAGGAGGAGGAGGAGGAGCGGCGAGGTCGCGGCTGCGCGTTGCAGTTTCAGCGGGCCACCGTGCGGGTGCTTGCACAGTTCGTGGCGGAGGCGGCCGGGCCCTGGGCATCGCCCCGCCTCCTGCTGGGGCCCGACTGGCAGCTGGACATCACTCACCTGGTGGCCGACTTCACCAAGCTGGAGGAGCCGCGTGTGGCCACTCTGCAGGACGGCGGGATCCTGGTGGGCCGGGAGGTCGGCATGGCCACCATCCAGGTGGGCCCGAGCTCGGGGACCCCGCGGGCTGTCCACCCCCGGGGGTGGGGGGCAGCAGGGGATGTCACATAGGCCCAGAACTCTGCCACGTCCTGGTCCCCACATCCAGAGCCTGCCCCACCCACGTGTCCCCCCACAGCGCACCAAGTGCCCTCGCCCCCTCCGTGAACCTCCTTCGCCTCTTTGTGGTTTGGTTTTGCCCGCGCCCACCGCCTCAGGCCTCCTGGGTTCTGTGGGGCTGGGCACACAGGGGACCGGCCTCCCTCCATCCCGGGCCCAGGTGCTGTCCCCTCTGTCCGACTCCATTTTGGCTGAGAAGACGGTGACGGTGCTGGACGACAAGGTGTCGGTGACCGACTTGGCCGTGCAGCTGGTGGCAGGGCTCACTGCCAGCCTGCAGCCCGGAGCAGACAACAGCAGGGCCGTCACGGCCGTGGCCACAGCCCAGGAGCTCCTGCGGACCCCCAAACAGGTGCGGGGGTGCCCACTCGGGGGCAGCCACAGAAGCCCCGGGTGGGGTCTCAGCCCAGTCTGCACCTATGATCCCCGCCATTCCCCACACCTTCTCGTTCAGAGCAGCAAGCAGCTCCCCTCTGCGCGCCCACAGGCTGGCGGGTGCTGAGGTGCTGAGGTGCTGCTCTGGTGTCTGGTTTCTGTGGTGTCGGTGTTGCTTTTGGTTTCTCTGGTTTCTGTGGTATCTGTGGTTTCTCTGGTTTATGTGGTGTCTTGTTTCCGTGGTATCTGTGGTTTCTGTGGATCTGTGATTTCTGTGGTGTTCCTGGTGTCTGGTTTCTTGGTATCTGTGGTTTCTCTGGTTTATGTGGTGTCTTGTTTCCGTGGTATCTGTGGTTTCTGTGGATCTATGATTTCTGTGGCGTGTCTGGTTTCTGTAGTTCTGTGATGTCTGTGGTTTCTCTGCTAACTGTGGTTTCTGTGGTATCTGTGGTTCCTGTGGTGTCTTGTTTCTGTGGTATCTGTGGTTTCTGTGGATCTATGATTTCTGTGGTATGTCTGGTATCTGTGGTTCTGTGATGTCTGTAGTTTCTCTGCTAACTGTGGTTTCTGTGGCTTCTCTGGTATCTAGTTTCTCTGGTGTCTGCTATCTGTGGTGTCTGGTTTCTATGATTTCTGTAGTTTATGTGGTATCCGTGGTGTCTGTGGTCTCTGGTTTCTATGATGTCCGTGGTAATGTCTGTGGTTTCTCTGGTGACTGTGGTTTCTGTGGTATCAGGTTTCTCTGGTATCTGTGGTTACTCTGGTGTCTGGTGATGTCTATGGTTACTGTGGTGTCTTTGATGTCTGTGGTTTCTGTGATATCTGTGTGTTTGCAGTTTCTGTTGTGTCTGTGATTTCTTTGATGTCTGGTTTCTGTGATATTTGTGGTTTCTGTGGTGTCTATGGTTTGTGTTTTCTCTGGTGTCTGGTTTCTGTGGTATCTGTGGTGTCCGTGGTTTCTGTGGTACTTGTGGTATCTGGTTTCTGTGGTATCTGTGGTTTCTGTGGTGTCTGTATTTGTGGTGTCTGTAGTATCTGTGGTTTCTGTGGTATTTGTGGTATCGGTGGTGCCTGTGGTTTCTGTGGTATTTGTGTTTGTGCTTGTTCCTGCTCCGTCTCTACCACCACGTGCTGCTGGCTGGGGTGCAGGCCCTCTTCCACCCCATCCCCTCCACACATACGGTGCTGTGGAGGTAAGTATGAATGTGAGAGTGCTGAGTGTGAGAAAGGCAATATTAGAAAGGGAGGGGGAGTGAGTGAGGGGGTGACGGAGAGTGAGGGAGAGTGAGGGGGTGAGGGAGTGGGAGAGGGAGCATGTGAGAGTCTGGGACCAAGGGACGGCGTGAGAGGTACTCAAGGTGTGCAGGGGAGGGTCCATCCTGCTCTGTGGGACTCCAGGACTTGGGGGACACTGTGCCTTCGCCGCCCAGTGGCCACAGCCCCCGAGAGCGAAGAGCACCGGGCCCAGGGTGAGAGGCCCGGGCAGCCGGGCAGGGCCTGACGAGCGTCTCCCCGCAGGAGGCTGTGCTCAGCACTTGGCTTCAGTTTAGCGATGGCTCGGCGGCGCCGCTGGACATCTACGACCCACAGGACTTCGCACTGACGGCCACCTCCTTGGACGAGGCGGTGGTGTCCGTGGCCACGGCCTACTCCGGGGGGCCGGTGGTGCGGGCCGAAGGGGAGGGCCAGGGCCCGCTGGTCCGCGTGGACATGAGCATCGCCGAGGCCTGTCAGAAGTCCAAGCGCAGGAGCGTGCTGGCCGCAGGCATTGGCTACGTCAGGGTCAAGTTCGGTGGCAACGAGGGGGCCGAGGCACAGCCAGAGGGTCAGACCCAGGCCAGCGGCTGGAGACAGGAGGGCTGGACGGGCAGCAGTGCCCCTGCAGAACTGGGGGAGGACGCCCCGGGCCGGACCCCCACCGCAGCCCCCGTGGATGCCGGGGCGGCAGAGACCAGCCGGCTGGACGCGGCCCCCGTGGAGGGTGTCCCGCTGGACCTGACCCGCCTCCCGGCCCCAGTGGGGGCGCCCCGGGCGGGAGCGGGGCCGCGGGGCCTGAGCGACCTGGAGGTGGGCATGTACGCGCTGCTGGGCGTCTTCTGCCTGGCCATCCTGCTCTTCCTGGCCAACTGCGCTGCCTTCGCGCTCCGGTACCGACGCAAGCAGCTGCCCCTGGAGGGCCAGGCCGCGGGGAGCCACTCCCATGACTGGGTGTGGCTGGGGGAGGCCGAGCCCCCCCTGCCGCCGCCCTCAGACCAGCACACTACCGTCATTGACCGGGACCCGGGGAGCCGGCAGGACAGCAGCCGGATGCTGCCCGATGGGGTCCCCCGGGAGGGGGGTGCCGGCAAGGATGGGGGTGGGCAGGAGACTGCACCCGGGGCCCGGGACTCACCCACGTCCATGCGCAAGAAGGTCAAGGTCTCCGCAGGCCCCCCGGGCGGCCTCCTCCTTCGGGGCCGAGCCGAGGGCCTCACGTGGGGGCGCCCCGACGTGGACGTGGCCCTGGGCGCCCCCCCAGAGCTCAGGTTCTACCTGGAGAAATTCCAAGAGAAGGCGTAGGTGCCGCCTGCCTGAGAGGCGGTTGGCGCAGGGCTGGGCACCTGGGTACCCCCTAGCACTGGGACGAACAGCGGCTTGGGGGCCACTCAGGGCCCAGTGTCCAGGGCAGCGGCTCCTCCTGGGGGTGGACAAGGCCCTGGGTGCCCGCGGCAGAGCGGGGCTGGGCTGGGCTCCGAGAAGGGGCATTTTATGGGTCAAAGTAGAACACAGACAAGCTACCAAAAATTCTTTGTTAAAAAATGCAAAAGACAAATAAAAAGAGATGGAGAGAAGGTGCCGCGGTGTCTGGCGGGGGACGGGAAGGTGGGTCCTGCCCTGTGAGCCGTGACCTCAGGGTCGAGACCTCCAGAGCTGCGTCTCCTCCCTCACCCACTGTCCACTTCCCTCTGGCCGTCCAGGGCCATGTGAGAGCCACAGTCCCCTCCTGTTCCTCGGGGTCCCAGCGCCAGGGTCCCCGAACCCAGCCTGGGCTTCTCGGGGGGACCTTTGGAGTACAGCTGGGCCATTCTGGGGGTCCCCTGGCTTCTTTCCGACACCACAGCCTCAGAGAGCAGGGGCGTAACTCCTCAGGGACCGGGCCAGCAGCCGGACACGGTACATCCACACAGACCCCAGTGGAGGCCGGAGCCAGCGGCCGCGCCATGCTCTCGGCCACACTCCTGCTGGCCAGGTGCTGGCTCATGTGCCCCCAAGTCCCCCCAGCACCCATGGGTGCAGCCTCAATGGCCATGGGGGTCCCGGCATGGAGCAAGGACATGCCGGGACAGCACCCATGGGCGGCCAGTGTGCCCCTGGAATGAGTGGGCACAAGGCTGGTGGGGCAATGGCGGCCCCACGCCCTCCCGAGACCACCCCAGCAGACCACCCCAGTCATCTCCCTGCCGCTCACTTTTCCTTTCCTGTAAGTGACTTTTCTCCAGGCCGTGAGCTCAGGCCTGGCTTCCAGTTCCTGGGCCACATCCCTGGAGGGCCCCAGGGTGCCGGGGCCCTGCCCCCATGCCCCCGTGCCCAGCTTGCCCGCCCTGCCCCACCCCTCCCAGCCCCCCAGGACCTGCAGACCCACTCGGGGGGCCGTGAAGCCCCGAGGCTGCATGGACCAGGCGGGTGGACGCTGGGGTGAGACGTACGCCCTGGCCCTGCCGGCAGCCGGGGTCTGGCCTCTTAGAATCTCCGCCGTGAGGGTCCTCCTGCCCCCCACCACATGGGGCCAGCGTGGGGGGAGAGAAGTGAGCATCTCGCGCTACCCCGCTGCCCTCCTGGCCTCCGCTTGTGAAGACGATCATCGCAGACCCATGAACCTGTCCCAAGGGCAGGGGGTTGGCACAGACGCTGCCTCATTTCTCCCATCTTGCTGTCTGGGGTTTCCATCACAGCTCTGCTGAGTGGAGCTGGGAGGATGTGTAGCCAGGAGACAGACAGAACCTTAGAGGACAGCGTGTCCAAGCGGTTGGAAACTAGGATCCGACCTGGGAGGCGCAAGGTGGCCCCATGCGTGAAAGCCTTGCTGGAGAGACCCTGAGGTTTGCTGAGTGCAGAGCAGGGCCGAGCAGGGAGCGAGGGACCAGGGAGCCCGCAGGGGCCGGCAGGACGCGTCCAGTGCAGCGGCCTGGATGTTTCGGGTCTCCAAAACATGCGCATGTTTTACTGTTTTTAGGGTGTGAGGCTCGGGGGGCCGTGCAGGGCTGGGAGCAAACCAGGCACGCGGTCAGCCGCTGGAGCTGAGCCTCCAGCCCTTGAGTGCCCGTGCAGGGCCCCCCACGTGCCCACACCCTGTTCCCTGAATATCCCAATGCGTTTCCGGGATCCTCCCTCCACCCGGACAGCCCGTGTGAGTCACAGGGGAAATCTCAGATGAGGGCCAGCTCAGCGCGGGGCTCCCGGGATGGGCCAGCCAAGTGGCCGCATGCGGTTGGCCGGGCGCTGCAGCCACCACCGGTTCCAACCAGGCTCCCTCTCCCACACACAGGGGCGGCCTCTGCACGATTGCCCCCAAGTCAGCGCAGGGAGGGCGCGTCCTGCACGTGGCTGACCAAGTGCGGCCTCTGCAGTGGATGTGGGGAGCGAGGACACGCTCCGGCTGAGGGCCCGGAGAGACGGTGGGTGGAGCCAGGCGCCCTGGGCCTGTGGCTCTGATGGCAGGGCAGTGGGGAGGCCACGGTTCGTGAAGAGGGTGGTGGGGCACTGGACAGTCTTTGTTTTTGTTGTTGTTTTTTTGCCTTTTGGGGGGGTCACACCTGGTGATGCTCAGGGGTTACTCCTGGTTCATGCACTCAAGAATCACTCCCGGCGGTACTCGGGGGACCATATGGGATGCTGGGAATCCAACCTGGATCGGCCATGTGCAAGGCAAACGCCCTACCCGCTGTGCTATTGCTCCAGCTCCTGGACATTCTTTGAAGGGATGTGTCTCCTTGTGGCTAGCCCCGACCTGGTGCCGGCTGCGTCACACGGAAACAGAGAAACTTGGTTCTCGGACCCTGTCGTGGCATCAGCAGAGGCTTGTTTGGGCAACGGTGGGTGAGTCCGGTAGCACCTGCAGCTTTGGAAATCAGTGTGGGGGCTCGGGGCGGCTGGCAGTGGGGGGCTCAGCTGGGAGCGACTTGGGCCGCGACAGGTCACCTCCCACCCCAGCACTGCTCATGCCTCAGTTGCACTGACTGGTGTCGGGCCACGTCCGCGGGATCAGGGCTTACACCTGGTGCTGTGCTCAGGCTCGCGTCTGTGGGGTGCGGGGAGCAGACACGGTCAGCTGTGCTCTCCCACCCAGCCCCAAATCCAAAGCAAGGCGGTGAGGGAGAGCTGAGGGGGGTATAGGCAGGTGGCAACGGGGTGCGGAGTGGAGGCAGGACGGGTCCCTGACGGCACGGGGGACAGAGTCCTTTCCCTCTCGGAAGCCATGATCCGGGTTGAGCAGAGTCCTGGGCTGGAGGCCCCGCGCCTGAGCATCACAAAGAACAAAATCACCTTGTTTTTATGAGAACACCCACAATCGAAGGAGAGGGTGAGGAGGGGCGAGACTGCGCAGCTGAGGACCCTCAGGTGAGTTGGGCCGTTTTTTTCAGGCCATGCCTGGTGATGCTAAGGGTCGACTCCTGGCAGGCTTCAGGGCTATACGGGATGCCGGGAAGCAAACATAAGATTGGGTGCGTGCAAGGCACGTGACCTAGCTGCCGTCCTATCACACTGGCCCACGTCTCACATTTTAAGCGCTGTAGCATTGCCCTCCAGTAGTTCATCGATTTACTCGAGCGGGCCCAGTAATGTCTCCATCGTGAGACTTGTTACTGTGTTTGGCATATCGAATACGTCACGGGGAGCTTGCCAGGCTCTCCGAGAGGGGCAGAGGAATCGAACTTGGGTCAGCCAGGTCGGCCACGTGAAAGGCAAATGCCCTACCTGCTGTGCTAGAGAAAAGTAAAAAAAGAAAGAGGGCTGGCATGAGAGGAAGCGGTGGGCACTGGCCTTGCATGCAACGACCCAAGTTTGATCCCCGGCGATCCTGTCCCCCGAGCCCCGCCAGGACGGATCCCAGCACAGAGCCAGGGGTCAGTCCTGAGCATTGCAGTGTGTCCCCCCCCCCGACCCTCCCTGCCCCAAGAAAGCCATGAGTACACACAGTGCTGGACGGAATCGGCAGAGCTTGCTGCAGGACACAGTGTGGAGCCACAGTGGGAGGGGGACCAGGCAGGGTGCAGCCAGCGCAGGCCGTGGTCAGTGGCTCCACAGCAGATGCAGCCCCAGGGCTCAGGACACCTGCCCTGTCACTGCCGGTCTGCACAGGCACAATGTGACACCCACACATGGCCCACTTCGCCCAGGTGCCCACCTGGCCTGGGGATCACGCAGAGTGTGGGCACAGCCATTGCCCAGGCCAGCCGGGCCACTGTGGGGTGGGCTCTGCCCCCCTGTGAGCTGCAGGAGGGGCAGCGCTTCAGGGCTGCAGCTCCGGAACCTTCCTCACTCCTACACCAAGGTGACGTCCAGGGCGGAGGCGTCCCCCTTGGCCAACACCACACAGCCCTGCGGGAAGCAGGGAATTTTGCGGTGACCAGGGCACCTGACTCCAAACACCCGGAATGACACAGTGAAAAAGGAAAAGGGGCCGCGGCAGCTGGAGGCACAGGGCAAGGAGGGGGTGACTGATGGTCAGGGCCAGGGCAGGCAAGGGGACAAATCCATGGCCGGAGGATGCTAGCAGAGGGTGCAAGCCCCTGCCCCACCCAGGACCACCGGGAGCTGAACACCTGGGCTGGGGGTGCGCCCCCCTGCTGGGCACGTGTGCAAACAGCAGGAGTTTGCGTGTCCCGGCGGCCTGGGACCTCTTTGCTCAGCTCTGGCCCGGTTCCAATCTTCATCGCCCTTCTGCAAAGAGCCAAGGAGGGTGTCGAGGGTTCCCCTGTTCTTGAGGGCAACCCCTGCCCCGTGAGGGGCCAGGAAGGAAGCTGGGTGGTTTGCACAGCACAGCACTCGGGCTAAAGCCATACTTTCACTGCCCAGTCAGGCAGCACCTCCAGGTGTAATGGCCGAGGAGGGATTGACGGGTGTTACCATGGAAGCCAGGGTCCCCCACTTTTATCTCACACTTTGATGCACCCTCATCCCAGGCACAGTTGCCCGGCTCCAAGGTCCTGCTCAAAGGGTCTCTGTGGGCTCTGTGCACGCGCCCCTGGCAGCTCTTGGGGGTCCAGCATCCTTGCTCCACTGCGGGCAGGTGTGTGTTGGGCCCCGAGGGAGGGCCGTGGTCAGCTGACCCCACAGAGATCCGCCCGGGCGCCCCCTCAGAACAGCCCAACTGGACCACAGACGGGACGAGGTCCAGCCCCCTGGGGCACAGCACGGACACCGCCCTGAGACTGGCCCGACACCAGGCCCACACGTGGAGGCACCATCCCCTCTGGACAGCCCAGAGGGACAGTGGGAGGGGGCGGGGACACGGGCACCCCAGGACAGCAGGCGGGAGGGCGGCCCCCAGACCGAGAGGGGGTGCTGCAGGCGAGGCT